TAATGACTCTAGATGAAACAAAGTACACCTCAGATCAGGATCACGGGCGAAGGTGTGAAGTATTTTACGATAAAAAATTACATTATTATCATGGGATAGCACACAAAGGTCAGGGTGAAGTAAGAAACAGTTATCTGCATCCTGGAAGCGATCATATTAACCTTGTTGAGATAAAGATCTTTGGAAAGACTCCATTTCTTTTGTACGGTATTCGATAGCCAGAGCAGCGTTTTGGTATGTAGATGGCGAGATCTATGTAAATAGAATTCGACATAGATGCTTATCGAGCCACTTTCACTGAGTGATGTGCCAATTTTATCAACCCAGAGGATCGTGAACTTTAAAATACCTATTCTTAACTGGAAACAGTTTTACAGACATTTTGATCCGAGGTATTAGGATATTTTCATATTTTTCGTACCGGCTCATCTTGAAGGGCCGTGAATCTACTTCGCGATTTGCAGCAGTAAGTGAATCAAAATGCATCCTACATACCTACTAAATGTAATCGTAGGGCGATACTTATCTTAAAGCAAGGAATCATACATGACGAAGTCGACGTCAATCACAATCCAAATGTGTCCACCAATCAATTTGCAAAATGTCCGCATACTCAGCTTTAACATAAACAAAGCGGAGTGTGGTCTTGAACCATCTTCATTTTTTGCTCCGAAGTCCGGCTATTTATTTCATTCAGCCATGGTTAAATTTCATTCGCTAAAAAAGTAATTCGGCCACTAATATTTATGTTAATTTAGCGGGTGGTATAAGAAGCGATATCCATTTGTTCTTTGCATTGCTTAAGGTATTTCTGTAAATTTCTAGCATTTAACGACCAACCGGAGATGCTGCACTGTCCAACGACAATCTGCATCACTGTTCACCTTGTTAAGCTATTTGCCTTCCGAAGACACCATTTGAAACTAGGAATGCTTGTGAGTGACGATTGTTCCTCCCGTGAGCAGTGGCCAGCTCGTCACTTGTCCGACTTCTACACAACACCGATTTTGCACCTGTAGCAAAGTGGGAGTTGCACACACTCCATAAGGTCAAATCTACGACTGCATATTGTCGTCCTTCACATCACAAGGAGATCGTTTACTGTAATTACTCTTGCTTAAACTCGGCTTCGCCCACTCGTCAGCCGGTAGATGGTGGAGCAAACAGCGAGCGAGAAAGTGTGTAGCAGCTGACGGCAAAGCAAATTGTAAATTCATCGGTTTATCGAATAATCGGAAATTGATTTTCCACATGAAGTTAGAA